ATCCGAGGCTGATCCGAACAGCCAAAAACCGACCAGCGGGGTCCGGGTCACAACCCAAGTCGTTCTAAATGTTCTAAATATTGTATCCGTTCCCGGGAGCTATTAGAGAATGAGAAATATAATGAGAAATACATATTTCATATTTTTATCTCATCTCGTATACACGGTAATAGAAGAGCGAGAAGTGGCTTCAACCGATCTACATTCTGATAAATATATGGAAAAATGCTGGGACCGTATTAGGAAAATACTCCGTTGAGTGTACACTGTCGTATTTTTCGTATCGCATCGGCCATACTTGGGATGCGTTGGGTATACGTTAGCAAAAGAGGAAAAATAGACAACAGAACGGACGCTCGCGGTCCGTTCGTTTGCGTATCAATAAAAGAGCGAAAACGAGTCTTGGGAGAACGTGTCGAAGATATGAAAGATGCACGCTCGTGTGTGCGCAACTTTACCGGAAAGAATTTTGTGCGCGCAATTACTGCCCCTCTCTCCCTCGCTACTGTTATTGCACTCCGTCTTTTTTCCACATGTCCTTGCTCCTGTCTTGCTCTCTTTGTGTCTTCCGCGTCTTTTATTTATCTCTGTCCTTCTCGTTCCGTTTAATATATGTGCACGCGGTTGCACATGTGCGCGAAAATTTACATCGAACCGCTTAAAAAAACCGCGCATCTCGGTATGGACTGCGGTTACCGGACATTGAATAAATATTTCTTCCCGGTAAAAGGGAAGCAATGCGATGCGAACACGGTTCTTCTGCAATTCAATTTTTGCCGATGGGACGGGAATTTTATATTAAACTTTCAATTAGATAGCAATAAACTCGTCAGATATAAAGCGTAAAGAAAATATTGACGCGAGTAGAATTAAATTAAGACGTCGAAGAAAGCGATGTTATCTTACGTTTTCTATTTCCTGAAATATATATATATGTATCGATCTCGCCGCGACGAGACGCGAACGACCACCGCGAGCTTCCAACTGTACAGGGCCTTAATGGTCCGATTTTATGGAAATCGCTGTAAGCTTCTGCCAGCTGTTCCCATTACGTTTCCGTTATGTTCTGTAAAATTCCCGTGCCTTCGGCTCCCTCAGTTCTTACGGAGTACGCGCGCGCGCTCGCTCGCTTTCTCGCTACAAAAACGCCGTAAAAGAATTTAATCGAAAGAGAAATATAATCTGCAATTGCGAACATCCGTCCGATATCAGCAACATGTGTGTCAGATAAAAAGTATATTAAACCGGCGATAATTCAGTTTGTCGAGAGTAAGCTCACTTTCTCTTTCTCTCTTTCCCTTCTCATTGACGGTATAAAAGATATTGGTTTCGCTGAGCGCGCGTGTTCGTAAAAAATAATCGCGGATCAAAAATGAATCACGCTCCCGTCATTCGGATGAACCAATTTCTGATCCATCCGAGTCTCGTCGCGGCTCAACGAGCGACTTCTCACAAAGGAGCATCTCGCCTCTAAAAGTTTACTGCGAACCTTCTTCTGATACTGCCGGAAGTTGGGCCGAGAAAGGGAGAACCGCGCGCGGGAAAAGCGCTGAAATCTCAGAGACGGCGAATCTCCACCTCGGCTCTCGAATAATAAATATGCATGCCGCCGAGAAGCATTAGCGGGAAGTAACTCTTTCCTTTAGAGAAATGCAAAAACGCGCGTACCCGCGGTGCATCTAACCGGTAAAGTATTGTTCTTCCGGCGCGCTTTTAAGCTGTCCGAAAACGTCCGCTGAAATTTCGAGGTAAATTGAAGAAAAAAGCTTGTTATTAGCCGCCAGTGCGCATAAGCGGAATGCTGCCCCGAAGAAAAGTCACCGAAATTCGGAATTATTAGGATATTCCGGGGCATATTCCGTGTTGAAACATAGATTAATAAAACTCGTAAAAGAAGGGAGGACGAGAAATTTGTTATAAACATCGGTCGGTATTAAAATATAATCCTGTGAAACGAGAACGCGAAGGCACCGGGTTATCACGGCACCGAATATTGTCGACGCGTTAAAATTTTATAATACCTTGCACGGACTTGAGGAAAATATAAACAGTGTTGGTTAGAAAACATTACATAATCTTACAAAAACGCGAGTCACGGTGTTAATCTCGTCGAACAATATGCACGATCCGCTGAGTTGCAGGCTACGTGTACAGATGGGAAATGAAGGGGCGAGAAAATATGGAGAGGAATCTGTCGAATGGGTTAAAACAGAAATAGGCTTGTTCTTGTCGCGAAAACTTATCGGCATGACGTATAACGACCTTGACATATCTAACGTTATCTGATTCAACTATATCACAATTTCGAGTGTTGATTCGCTGTGTCAACAGTTAGATAAAAATGACAGGATACGAATAATAATCGCATAAGATAAGAAGACCTTTTGTTACGCGACGAGTGTTCCGTTAGAGAGATACAGAAAATTATGACGGATTTAATTTTTTTTTAATTAGGCGATAATCATATCGTTAAGACACGCTCTATAGATAATGTCTATAAATAATATGGAAATATAAATAGGAATTTAGTTATCGGTTTGTATGATAAGCGTAACTATTAAAGAATTATTTTGATTCATTATATTTTGTCTAATAATTTAGAACGTTATTGAATTCTTATTCGTGAAATTTCATAAAAATACACTTGCTGCGATAGCACTTGACGCTTCTTGATGGTTAGATAACATGACAACGAGGTTATAATCTCTATCTTCCGCGTCCGGATTTTAGAACTTGTTTCGCAACGTCCGGCGGAAGAGGAACGGAAATTTCGTATACGAACGGAGAACATTGCTGTCAGCAGCAGCAGGCGGACGTAACGATCTTGTTGTTTCGCTAGCCGGCGCGGCCACGAAACAGCCTGTTAGAATATTGTATTCGGTGGATCAAGCCGTTCTCGATGCGCCGCATTGTTTGCCCGAGGAGCATGCCGCGGCATTGCGAATCAACTAAAAAAAAATCAAGATCGTTAATACGCTAAGTACACACGTACACACATATACGAGGGAAGTTTCGCGAGAAATTTGGATTATGCAATTGCAAAAATGGGAAAACCGAATTATCTTTTATCCTGGTACTCTCTCTCTCGCTCTCTCTCTCTTTCTCTCTTGTTATATCGCTGATATTTTATCACTGATTATTGTTGATTATGATTATCTTGAATATATCACCTGAGATTTGGTTTCGAGGTTATTGTATTAAGTAACGCGATATGATATGAATGTACTGAATTCTTCACGTAATAATATATATCATTGGCTTCTTGTAGAAATAAAATATTTGTATCTTAAATTTTGAAGTTGGAAAATGTTATCATTGTAGACCATGGCTCTTTGCAAGATTCTCTTTAGCAATTATATAGATATCAAAGATTTAAATTTTCTTTTTATATTATTTTTTTTCTAGAATACACACACATACACACACACACATATTTTTTCTTTATTGCAACATTTTGTAAATGCCTCAGAGGTACAGTTTGATAATCATAATTTCATTCATAATTCTGAGAAAAATATGTAAGGATGTCAAAAACCACTGTCGTGTCCCACCTAGAAGTAGGGTCTCAAAGGGTTAATTAAAACGGTGTCATCCTCGCTGTGGAAAAATGAAACGGGATGTGGGTAGGTCTGGCCGACCGCAGGGAAGAAAGAGGGAAGCCGTATGGAACGTTGCTTTTAACGGACGAGCCACGAGAAAGAAAGAGCCATGACTGAAAAATCTCAGCTCGCTTTAAAAACTGCGATCAAGGACGAAACTTTATAAAAAATACATGGTACTAATCTATAATAATGTCAGAATAAACTGTGGCATCAGACAGCAATTAGCATAGTATATTTACAATGGTTCTTTCTAAGATATAACATAAATTTTTATAAACAAATCTTCCCTTTTCTCTTTATCTTTTAAAATAGGAAGGAAGGCAAAGAGAAGCGAAATCATTTGGGGAGAATTTAAATAAATCTTACCACGTACACGCACAATGAAACAAAAATATCATCTTAATTTATTCGCAAAGAACAGTTACTGTATAATGAAGTTACATCCATGTTTATTCTCAATTTCGATGAATTGTTAATATAATAAAAATAACTTTAAAACATTTTTTTAAATCCGGCGCATATGTTGTTATCGATTGTTATTTTTATATGTTTTTTTAATAAATTGATAATATCTTTGGTTTTCATCTCGCAGTTTGCTCTCACAACTATCGAAATTCCATTTATTTATTTCTCAAATATGAACGAAATTGTATACTTGCCTCTTCGCATATTGATCGTGTGATATTTGAATTACAGACGTAAACGTTAACGAAAAATAATGAAAGTTATGTATGACGTGACTCCGTAGCTACTCCTGCTGTTTGATCCACGGTTGTCTTTAATATATCTTGCAACCATTTCCCAGATTCTGGCGTACCTATTATCCAGATGACGCAATTGTCACGTTTCTCGTGGATCGTTCATGACGAGGGCGGAAATTCTATGGCTGGATTTGCGATTCGAATGTTATTAAACCTTTCGCGACAGCCTGGTTCGGTCAGAACGTTCGTACCGCGCGAAATATTAAGGCACTCTTCGAGATTTACGAATGAACGGAATAAAATCGCGTCACATCTACAAAGCAAGCGATCGGACGTAGTTGTTTGCGCGATTGGCAGCTTTCACTGACGATAATTTCGTTCCCGTTTAATTGTCGCATTCTGTTGTGTTCGATTCTATTTGCTTCGATTCTATTGCTTTAGAAAGAAAATACAAAAAATTGAGTCCACAATTCCATAAAATAACTTTCGTTCGTGAGTTTCCGCGCGATCTGTATTACTTTATATATTTTACTTTTGAGAATTCGAATTTTTCCGGTTAACGTGCACCGATACCGACTATATACTCAATATTCTATACTCAATTTGAACGTTTCTACAAGATTACATTTTTGATGAAAACATAATTTAAATATACGCGATAAGATGCCTTTGCTGCTTACATATAGTCCGAAGCAATTTATTTCGCATATATTTCTCGCAGCTGCTTCCTCGCGATTTTGCCGGTAGTTGTGCGCGGCAATTGCTCCACGAATTTAACACCGCCACGAAGTCTGCAATAATCCGGCAAGTTTTTCTCCACCAAGTTGATAAGCTCTTCTTCTGTTACCTGCACCTGAAACAAATACACGATGAATGCAACGTCGGATTCGAAGTCATAGATGAACATAGAAATATGAAGTGATCGCGTTTGCACCAGTATCAACATATCCGCACTTTTCTTTTAGAAATACTCGCGACACACTTACCGATTTATCCGGCAGTAAGACAACGACAGCCATCGGGTGTTGTTCGTCGACTTCGTGGGGTATTCCTATCACCGCCGCTAGTAATACCGCGGGATGAGTAGTTAAAACGGCCTCGATTTCTCCAGGCGAGACGTTGATGCTTCGAAAATTGATGAAGTCGGATATCCTGTCGACAAGGAATATTTCCCCATCGTCGTCATAATACGCCACATCGCCCGTGTGTAACCAACCTGAAATGTTTCGCGTTTATGCGCGTTATCCGCCGATTCTCTTTCTACCTCTCTCTCTCTCTCTCTCTCTCTCTCTCTCTCTCTCTCTCTCTCTAATCATTTCTCTATAATAATTTAAATGTCTGTGTACATGTCCTAGTGCCAACATCATTGGCTAGCTTTGATCAAAAGTTTAAAATGCCTACCGTCAGAATCGAAGGACTGTTTCGTCGCTTCTGGATTATTGTGATATCCTTGCATCATTGTGATTGCTTTTACACGTAGTTCTCCGGTCTTGTTAGGTCCTAGCGTTTCCTCCGTCTTCAGATCCACAATCTTTATGCGGACGTTAGATGACACATAACCGACGGATCCTAGTTTGGTGAATCTAGTTGGCGCACTGCATACGCATGACGTATCGGTACTTCCTACATGGTAACGAAAAACAGATTTATTGTTATAACTAAAAAATAAATCTAATCTAAACTGTTCTACGTGAACAGGTTGGCAACGGTTTCTGCATATAATTCCTTTGTTGCATGAACAAATCTACTTGATTATAACAATTCACTTTGTTCAGCTATAGATTCACAGAATTAGACAATCCATTTTTTTATGTGGGATTCTACATTAATAGTAATTGTATATTAGTAAATATATCATACGCCCCAATTTTAATAACTAAATTTTATAAATTTTACTACGGAGAAACACGTGAGTAATAGGAAACTTAATTATATTTTCACATTATTCTTTTTATCGAGACTTCTGTCGGAAACTTTTTTGAATTTATTACATTTTGATGTCTCTAAAGCGATATTTTAGTGAAACTTAAATTTCACATTAGTAAGTCGAATCTCGCGTCGAACATTATCGCATCAAAGAACGTTATGTGAAGGTATAACAAAATGTTACAAGGTGAAGGTTCGGCTCGATGGAAATTATGGATGTTCACTCGCGATAGGGTCAGAAGCCTGAAGCTCAGCTCGTTAATATGAGTTTGATTTTGATAATTTAAGTCTAAACAGAGTTAAGGATGAAACGAAGATCAATACTACGCTTCTTTCGAATCGAACCCACTCACCGTAAGTATTATTAACGAAAACATGAGGTAATTTCTCCTGTAGTACTTCTAGATACTCCTTTTTGAGGTGAGCGCCGGTAGAAAGAATTATTTTCAAACTTGGTAGTCGATATTTTTCCAGCAATTCGCTTTTAATGAGATTGATTAGTATGAACGGATCGGTGCTGAACCAGGATACCTAAGGATAATCAAAATAAAATTAATCGTTGCAATAATGTTTATTTATTTCTAATCATCATCTATTAAATTAGCTGTCAAGGATACCGAATTTGTTGAAAACTATTTTTCCTCTTACATGATATTTCTCGATAAACTGCAAGAAACCTTCGACATCATCATTATCCGGCACAATAATTTTCTTCGCATGCACACCGATAACCCTGAAGCCCATCAGAACACCGTAATTCCAACGTAGTGTGGGTACAATTATGAAAATATGACCTTGCAAGTCGCGGATTTTATCAGGATGCATGCAGCAGTGCAAAGAATAGTGAGTGATCTTCGTGCCTTTTGGTAAACCCGTAGTGCCCGAAGAAGGAACTATGAGAGCAACATCATCCGGTTTTGTAGTGAAGCATTTAAATTCGACGATTTCGCGAGTGTTATGACCTCTCAAAACATCCTCATTCAAGGATTCGTATCCATCCAATTTGTCAAGAACTACCACTTTTAAGTTCATTTTCAGTTCCTTAGCCGCTTGCCTTAAACTCGCAGCCGACGAATTTATCGTGAAGACTATTTTCGGCGATGTCAGCTCAAGGAAGTATCGTGCCGTAACTGAACACATGCCAAACAATGAATTAAAAGCACGTGCATTGAATCTGTATGTTGCGCATTCTAATTTTATGCAACTATATTTTTAAACAAATTTCTTCAGTTTTTTGGTAAAACAAGATTTTTAACTATATCGGATTTATATTTTGACAAAAATCAGTTTTGATTATTTTTACGTAACATTCTCTCTCTCTCTCTCTCTCTCTCTCTCGGAACGGTTGGAAAAAAGATAGAAGAATGCTTACGCGGAGAAAGCTTATGATCCCACGTATTACATGTAGCACCTATGTACATAATGCCTAACAAAATTAAGAACGCGTCCAAGTTATTATCAGTGCAAAGACCGATTATATCGCCCGGTTTTACACCTTGCTTTTTCAGCCAAAGGGCACATTTTATGCTACGTTCACTCATATCTGCAAAGGTTTGCATTTCACCCGTAAGAGCATCCACCTGCAATGCGAAAATTGCTACTGTGTTTTTACGCTGAATCTTACCTTAACCGTAAATTATATATGCGGGGAATTTCACATACTCTGGTAGCAAATCGCCACCGATGATGATTGTAATTTTTTCGCTCAGGTAACAGAGTTAAAGTAGTTGGTTCACTAAACTATTTTCTTAAAAATCTTTGAACATTTTGATTCTATGTTTATGGAAATGAGACATTAATAAGAAAAATTAAAAGTAAGTGTTTTTATACTTGTAATTTTACATATAAATTTGTGCCTTTAATTCACTTTTCAAATTAATATTTATTACTTATAATTAGATAAATTTATGAAATATCTCTGAGAGAAATTACGTCATCTCGCAAAGAAAGTACGTTAATGGTACGTTAAAATTTTACTAAAATACCTGTCCGATGAAATCCGGCTTGCTTTTCAAAATTTTAAGCGCTTCTTCAGCCACGTTGACCGGTATTTTGGGTAGCGATAATTCCTTTCCTATTAAAATATTATCCTCTATTCTAAAGTTGCGGTCACTGTTATGACACTACAGAATTATAATAGACAAACTTAGATGCGGTTTTTGATTAATAAATAAAAAAATTAAATTTAGTTAAGGCAGTTATTTATATTAGTTTCTTTGCTGTTGTTTCACCCTTTAGTCTGCGTTTCACTATTTTTATTTTCTGTACTATTGTTTACTTTTCTTTTGCTTATAACGGCAATAAAGTTATTATTATTATTATTATTATTATTATTATATTGCCTAAATGCGGGAATTAACATTTCTCACAAAGTAATAACATGGAAAATAGTGGGCGAAAAATATACAAATATCGGAAATATAAACATATTTAGTTAAGTCTTCATTACAGGATATTCAATGATAAAATGTGCTTTTTATAACGTAGTTATTCTAAAATATTCTTTACCTTGTTATTAGTTTCTGAATTACACATATTGGTCGATTTCAATTACTGTCCCGTCTACTTTTATAATAATTAAGCACACGTTGCCGATTCGAATTGACAATCCGGTTTCTTTTTTATGTTTTAATGCTTGCCACTTTGAAGTATTTAACGTAGTATGGGAACTCACTCGCATATCGCGGGTACAATATGAAAGGAAATAGGTTGGCTTGCTGTATATTTCTTAACGTGAGATCGCCTTGGTCTGGGGAAGGGGAACTACAATTAGTGGGGTAACTGATAATCTTAATTTCAATACATTATCATGGTTATGTTATCGTTAAGCTCAATTTGTCTTCATAAATTAAATTGTAAATTGAAAAATTTGTTATTTGTATGGCTCGTAAAGAACTGTTTTGTAAAAATTTTTGGTGCACCAATATACAACGATTAATGTCAACAATCGATTTTTCTCATATTATTACGTTGAAAATGTTAAGGTTATGTTATCGAAAAGTGAATATTTTATGAAATATTTTATATCTTGTACTGAAAAATATGAGAATAAAAATATCTCGAAAAGTACTAAATTTCGTATGATTTTATTCTGGTACTTTTATACGTAGAAAAAAAAAAAAAATCGGATTGTGTTACAAAAAATTGTATACTTCCATTTAAAACAAAAAAGTTGACGATAAATTATTGACTATACAAAAAAGTTGAGTTTGAGATCACTACCTTACGTCCCCATCGAAACCCCAAAATTTTTGTCTGAAACATTTTTTTGTACAAACCATAACATAAAAGATATTTGATTGTATAGATTAAAATGAGCCACCTTGTATATCTGTATCTGTAAATTAATTTTACATTATGTAAGGGGGCAGGGGGACTAGTTAGATGCATTATTCATGTCATGACAGTACGTCATAAAAAATTTCATCACCACTTACTTTTTCCAACAACGTATTGTTCGTGTTCAAGGAGAACCTTAATTAATCGAGATTGGACTTTAGGCTTATGCTGAAATATAAATCTCAATCTAATCTTGTATTGTGTATCTGTCAACAGTTACTTATCATGTATTACCTGATACGAAAATCTTTCTCCTTCCATTGTGACCAGTAATATCATATATAAAATTGATGTGGTTAAAGTTTGGAGGGGTTTTCGAATGAAAATTAAAAAACAATGTTTTCAAATTTAACTTTATTTTAAAAAATGTGCAGAAACATTATGATTGTTTTACATTCTATGGAACGATATACGTTAGAAAAAAAAATGGTTTGTTGAAAACGAATATCCGGAAGATCTGCATAATCTACAAAGCTCAATATGAAAAGAAACGCTTTGTTATATTGATTGTATATTAGTCTTTATTTTAACATGTTATAATCAACTTTGAGTCATATTACAACTGAAACTAGGAACGGGAAAAATCATAAGAAACATCGATATTCATAAAATTCAATTTTTCTAATTAATTATAAAATGTGGTGAGATTTTATCCATCTTTAATTTTATCCGCCTTAATATAATAAATGAATGTGCTTACTTCATGAAAGAAAGGAAAGAAAAAAAGTAATATCCAAGCAAATTGAAAATATTGATTCTAATAAGTAAAATAGTGCTTTTGCCCCTGGTCACTCCCACTATATATATTTCGCTTTTGAGAATTCGCGTCTTTCCGGTTAATGTACATTGATACAGACTCTATACTTAATTCGAACGTTTCCACAGAGATTTTCAAGATTACATTTTTGACGAAAACACAATTTAGGTACACGTGATAAGACGCCTTTGCTGCTTGTGTATAGTTCGGGGCGATTTAGTTCGTATATATGTCTCGCAGCTGCTTCCTTGCAATTTTGCCGGTGGTTGTGCGCGGCAATTGGTCCACGAATATAACACCGCCACGAAGTCTGCAATGATCCGGCATGTTTTTCTCCACCAAGTTAATAAGCTCCTTCTCTGTTACCTGCATGTAAAATATAAACGTATACTGAATGCGACTAGTTGGATTTGTGTTATAGGTGAAGACATAGAAATTTGAAATGATCGCGTTTATCTACACTATCATAAGAGTTTTCTCAATGTTTTCGAGAAATGCTCGTGACACACTTACCGATTTACCCGGCAGTAGGAGAATGACAGCCATCGGATGTTCTTCGTCGACTTCGTGGGGTATTCCTATCACCACCGCTAGTAATACCGCGGGATGAGTAGCTAAAACGGTTTCGATTTCCGCGGGTGAAACATTGATGCTCCGAAAAATGATGAAGTCGGATATTCTGTCGACGAGGAATATTTCCCCGTCGTCATCATAATACGCTACATCGCCGGTGCGCAACCAACCTGAAATGTTTCGCGTTATCAACTGAACCTCTCTCTCTCTCTCTCTCTTTCTCTCACTCTCTCTCTCTCTCTCTAATCATTTCTCTATAATAATTTAAATGTCTGTGTACGTATCGTAGTGTTACAATGTAACGTCGCTGGCTAGCTTTGATCGAGAGTTTAAAACGCCTACCGTCGGAATCGAAGGACTTTTTTGTCGTTTCTGGATTATTGTGATATCCTTGCATCGTGGAGATTGCTTTTATACGTAGTTCTCCGGTCTTGTTAGGTCCCAACGCTTTCTCCGTCTGTAGATCCACAATTTTTATGCAGACGTCAGGTAACACGTAACCGATGGATCCTGGTTTACTGAATTTAGTTTGTGCAGTGCACACGCATCCCGCATCAGTCAATCCTTCATGAAAAGGATATAAAAGATTTATTGTTATAATTTATTGTTCTAACTGATCGAACCGACTCACCGTAAGAATTATTAACGAAAACATGAGGTAATTTCTCGCGTAGTATATCTTGATACTCTTTTCTGAGGTGGGCACCACTAGAAATAATCATTTTCAGACTTGGCAACCGATATTTATCTAGCAATTCGTTCTTAATGAGTTTGATTAGTATGAACGGATCAGTGCTGAACAAAGATACCTGAGGAATATCAAAGCAAAATTAATCGTAGCAATAATGTTTCCAATCGTCATCTATTATATTAACGGACAGGGATGCCTGATGTGTTTGAGAACTACTTTTCCTCTTACTTGATACTTCTCGATAAATTGCAGTAAACCCTCGGCGTCGTCGTTGTCCGGCACAATAATTTTCTTCGCATGCACACTGATAACCCTGAAGCTCATCAGAACACCGTAATTCCAACGTACTGTGGGTACAATTATGAAAATATGACCTTGCAAGTTGCGGACTTTATCAGAATGCATGCAGCAGTGCAAAGAATAGTGAGATAACTTTGTGGCTTTTGGTAGACCCGTAGTGCCCGAAGAAGGAACTATGAGAGCAACATCATCCGGTTTTGTAGTGAAGCATTTAAATTCAACAATCTCGCGAGTGTCATGACCTCTCAAAACGTCCTCATCCAAAGATTCGTACTCATCCAATTTGTCAAGAACCACCACTTTTAAGTTCATTTTCAGTTCCTTAGCCGTTTGCCTCAAACTCGCGGCCGACGAACTTATCGTGAAGACTATCTTCGGCGATGTCAGTTCAAGGAAGTATCGTGCCGTGACTGAACATATGCAAACAATTCATGAAAAACATATGTGTTGAATCTATGTGTTGTGCATTCTAAATTTACGCAATTATATTTTATGATCAATTTTTTCAGTTTCGTAAGATTAAACAAGATTTTTAACTGTATGTCAAATTATTATATTATATTATGACAAAAATTAGTTTTGATTATTTTTACGTAACGCTCTCTCTCTCTCACTCTCTCTCTCTCTCTCTCTCTCTCTCTCTCTCTCTCTCTCTCTCNCGCCCCCTCTCTCTCTCTCGGAACGATTAGAAAAAAAGATAGAAGAATGCTTACTCGGAGAAAGGTTATGATCCCACGTATTACATGTGGCACCTATGTACATAATGCCTAACAAAACTAAGAACGCATCCAAGTTATTATCAGTGCAAAGACCGATTATATCGCCCGGTTTCACACCTTGCTTCTTTAACCAAAGGGCACATTTTATGCTACGTTCGCTCATATCTGCGAAGGTGTGCACTTTACCCGTAAAAGCATCCACCTGCGTAGCAGAAAGTCGCAGCTATGTCTTCATACTGAATCTTACTTAACCATAAATTATATACACGTCGAATTTCACGCACTCCGGAATGAGGCAAACCACCGCCGATGATGGTTATAACTTTTTCACTCAGATAACACTCGGGTAACATTGGATTAAAATAGTTGGTTCGCTGAACTATTTTCTTAAAAATCCTTGAACATTTTGACTGTACGTTAGTGGACATTGTAGAATTGACTTTATCGACTCATAACAGCAGATGGGCATTGGGAGATGACGGTGATATCGCCAGGAACATTAATAGCGCGGGGGTCGCGCGTTAGAGGTTATCGGGAGTCCGTGGAAAGAGGAGAGCAACACGGGCGAGTGAGGAATTCACTATCGAGAGTGCCGCTTGTATCTACATAATAATAAATCGATATTTATTTCAACAGAACAAGAAAGCAATACTATTCTGCTTGAATTCCTTTCCAGAGCTGTATCCACTCTCAGACATAAGATTATAATATAAGATAATAAGAAAAATAATAAATAAATATTTTTATATTTGTAATTTTACATATAAATTTCTATCTTAACTTCACATTTCAAATTAACATTTATAACTTAAATAGTGAAATGAATTTATGAAAAATACGTGAGAGAAATTACATTACCTCGCGAAGGAAACACGTTAATGACAGACGACAAATTTTACTAAAATACCTGTCCGATGAAATCCGGCTTGCTTTTCAACATCTTAAGTGCCTCTTCAGCTACGTTGACGGGTATTTTCGGTATCGATAATTCCTTTCCTATTAAGATATTATCCTCAATTCTAAAGTTACGGTCACTGTCACGACACTACAGAATTACAATAAATAAATTTACATGCGGCTTTCGATTAATAAATAAATTAGTTTTAGTTAAGGCAATTATATCAATTTCTTCGCTGTTGCTTTATCCTTTGGTCTGCGTTTCGCTACTTTCATTTTTTGTATTGTTTACTTTTTTTTGCTTGTAACAACCAATAAAGTTATTAATATTATTATATTATTGCCTACATGCGGAAATTAACATTTTCTACGAAGTAGTAATATGGAAGATAGTGGGCAAGAAATATATAAATATCGGAAATGGAAATTAATACATTAATTAATTAATTAAGTCTTAATTACAAGATATTCAATGATAAAATGTACTTTGTATAACGCAATTATTCTCAAATGTTCCTTACCTTCTTATCAGTTTCTGAATCACACATTTTGGTTGATTTCACAATAGTTACTGTCTCATCTACTTTTATAACAATTAAACACACGTTGACAGCTGATTCGAATTGACACTGGAATGATTTCGTTTTTACTTGTTTTAATGCTTGCCGCTTAGAAGTATTTGCAGCATAGAAACTCACTCGCATATCACTAGTATAATATGAGGAAAAGAAGATTGACTTGAAATATATTTCAAGACGCTTTGGGCTAGAGAAGGGGTACTGTATTACAGTGGGATAACCGATAACCTTCACTTCGACCGTTTATTATAATTGTTTTTCAAGCTGTTGTTAACTGTTATTAGCTGTTGTAATAGAGACTCGAAAATGACGGTTGTGTAAAAATAAATTCTTTTTTGTTAAGCGAGACTTGAAAATGACAGTTTTGTAAAAATTGAGAGATCTGTAATACAAGATTTCATAACCATTTACTTTTTTCGGCAATATTCGGCAATTTTCGGCACGTATTGTTCGTGTTCAAAAAGAATCATGATTATTTGCGATAAGACTGCAGATTATGCTTACATTTGAATGTTGACTCAATCTGATCTTGTATCGTACTTATCAATAGTTACTTATCGTTACTTATCGTTTATTATATAATAATATAAAATACGGGAATTAAAATACAAATTAAAATTCCTGCCGAGAATCCCAGTGACTTGTGTAAACAAATGACAGTAATTTTATACTACATGGGACGATATATGTTAGAAAAAAATAGTTTGTTAAAGTGAATACCCGGAAGATCTCCTGGTCTCCTCTACTTTACATATTTTGCTTCTGAGAACTCAAATCTTTCCGATTAACGTGCACCGATGCCGACTCTATATTCAATATTCTATACTCGGTTCGAACGTTTTCACAAGGTTAAATTTTTGACGAAAACACAATTTAAGTATACGCGATAAGACAACCTTGCTGCTTGTGCTGCTGATAGTCCAAAGCACTTTATTTCGCATATATTTTTCGCAACTGCTTCTTTGCGATTTTACCGGTAGTTGTGCGCGGCAATTGGTCCACAAATTTAACACCACTACGAAGTCTGCAATGATTCGGCATGTTTTTCTCCACCAAGCTAATAAGCTTTTTCTCTGTTACTTGCGTGTAAAATATAAACGTACACTGAATGCGACTAATTGGATTCGTGTTATAGGTAAACTTAAAACTTTGAAGTGATTGCGTTTATCTGCGCTATCATAAATGTTTTAGAGAAGTTCTCGCGTCACATTTACCCGGCAGTGGGACAACAACAGCCATCAGGTGTTATTCATTGACTTCGTGAGGTATTCTTATCACCACCGCTTGTAATACCGCGTGATGAATAGCTAAAACGGTCTCGATCCACAGGTGAGACGTTGATGCTCCGAAAAATGATAAAGTCAGATATTCTTGACGAGGAATATTTCCCCGTTGTCGTCATAATACGCCACATCGTCGGTGCGCAACCAATCTGAAATATTTCGCGTTATTAACTGAACCTCTCTTTCTCTCTCTCTAATCGCGTTTCTATAATAATTTAAATGTCCGAACGCGTATCGTGATGCTGATATCGGTGGTCACTTTTGAGCGTTCGAAACGCGTACCATCGGAATCGAAGCACTGTTTCGTCGCATCTGGATTATTGTGATATCCTTGCGTCATAGTGCTCGTTTTAATACATAGTTCCCCACTTTTAGAACCTAGCGCTTTTTCCGTATTCAGACCCACAATCTTAATGCGAACGTTAGATGCCACGTAACCGACGGATCCTAGTTTGGTGAATCTAGTTGACACACTGCATATGCATGACATATCGGTACTTCCATAGTAACACATGGTAACGAAAAATAGATTTATTGTTACAATTAAAGACAAATCTAATATAAATCTGTTATATCTAAGCAGGTTAGCGAATGGTTCTACATGTAATTCCTTTGTTGTATGAACAAATCGGTTTTAATTGCAATTAGTCTTGATTGCTTTATTTTACGTGCCATATATTATAAAGTAATATATATAATTTAAAAGTTATCACACGTGATTTCCACATATACAGATAAGTTTGTTAAAAAAAAATTAATAATATTTTATAATACTATGTACATAATAATATTTATAAAATAATTTAGCTGGCAATTTTCGCCAAAATTTTTAATTTCTTCTTATCAATTTTTCCAGTACTGGTGCGCGGAAAATTATCCACGAATTTGATTCCTGCTTGAAGTTTGCAATACCACGGTAAATTCTTGTGTACTAGATCATGCAACTCCTCCTCCGTTACCTGGAAAGAAAGAATTTAATTGTTATCAATGAAAAAGTTTTGTACTGCCGATTGAAGTGTACGATATTGCACAATGATGCATGTCTCACCTCTTTCCCGCCTACTTTTTGAACGAAGGCCAATGGAAGTTCCACATCCGTTTCGTGTGGAACTGAAATTACTACGGCCTTCAGGACCGAAGGGTGAAGCTCGAGTACCCCTTCGATTTCCGCTGGTGACAGGTTAATTGTTTTGTAGTTAATGAAATCCGAAATTCTGTTAACGAAAAAAATCTCGCCCTTCTCGTCGTAATATCCTATATCTTTGGTGTGCAACCAACCTGTATATACATACATACATGCATATATACATACATATATATATAATACACATACTATATAATATAAATTATTTCGTTCAGGTTTTTTGACATATCGAGTCTTATTTACAATATGCTTTACACCTAGATTTAGGTAAGATACCATTCGTATGTTAGATCTCAGAAAGTATCTCTATGTTGAATGCCATTTTGCTAGTCGTAGTACTAACCATCCGAGTCGAGGGCTTCCTCAGTTTGTTCCGGATTTTTGTGATAACCACTCATTATAAATTCTGACCTGATACAGATTTCGCCTTTCTTATTAGGCCCTAGAGCTATCCCAGTTTTTTCGTCGGCTATCTTGATTCGTACGCCTTTAGTGACGAAGCCACAGGAGCCCGGCTTGCTATTTTTTGCTTGACTCACGCACAAGCCGCCAGCATCTGTCAGTCCTGAAAACATAATCGCGCATTCTCATATATCATAGATCGACGTAATAACGATGTTTTATGTCCGCGACAAATTTACTCTCAACGAAACAAGATACAATAGCAGCGCTTTTCAAGCTATCAAGTACGAATTGCTCGATGATTTTTCTGTTCAACTAAACTTACCGTAACATTGTAATATTTGAGTATGTGGCATAATTTTCGCGATTACTTTGTGAAATTCCTTTGTAAAAGGTGCCCCTGAGACTACCATTTTCCTTAGGGACGGTAGAGGATATTTTTGGAACATATTCATTTTGATATAAAATATGGGAAAGCTAGTGTCACTTCCAAGCCATGTCACCTAATATAATTATACATTATATGATCGCGATAAAAACTGTCGTTATAACAATAGAAACTTTTATAATTTCTCAGTATTAGTTATAATAATAGTAAGCTCTCTAAACTTTATTAGATTATAAAAGCACATATTTTTAAACTTAAAAGCGTGTATAATAAGGGAATTTGGATCATTTCTGAATTAGCAAACGTTTAAATTGCTAATTAGGACCTCGTTTGATTATAACAATTGATCTGGAAGAATTAATTAGTGTGTCGATCGAATGACTCTTTTATCTATTAGATTACTAAATTCGCCCCACAACTCACTTCGTGTTTCTGAATGATTTCGCACAGCGAAATTTCATTGATGTTATCATCCGAGAAAACGACCCATTTGGCGTCCGACATAATGATCTCGATACACTGAGTGAGTCCGACATGCCATCGTATCGTGGGCACCCATGCGCATATCTCGTTCTTCAGGTGAATCTCCTCGACGGGAGTGATACTGTTGTAAAGGGACGCGTAAGACAACTCGGCTCCTTTCGGCATACCCGTGGTGCCGGAAGAGCTACAGATCATCGCCAAGTCGTGAGGATTATCGATTTTCGTGCAGCAGAAGCCGTCGATCTCCGCGCGGCCGACCTGTTCCTCAAGAATGTCCGCCAGGGACACGAACCCTGGCATACTGCCGATAACCACAACTTTCACTTCGAGATTTTCCTCCTTCGCAGCTTCCACCAGATTCACGGTAGATTCCTCGTTCACGAAAACCACCTTCGGGGACGTCATTGAGAGGAAATACCGCGCAGATACTGAAAATGTGTGTAGCTTTTAATCATCCGATGGATCTCGATATTGTTTTCTCATTAATTACACTTGAGAGATCAGTTATTAGCGATCGCACGATTTATCGGGAACGCCGCGATATCTCTTGTGCGATTTTGCGATAATATTGTTTAAATTAGCTAACTATCAGATTGTACTTATATTTGCACAAATAATAACGTACGTTTCGGTACTACGTGATCCCACGGGCAGATCACACCGCCGATGTATAAACTTGCGAATATCGGCACACATGTGTTCAAGTGATTCTCAGTCAATATGCCGATATAATCACCTTTCTGAATGCCGTGCTTTCTTAACCACAGAGCACACTTGATGCTCCGTTCTCTCAGTTCCGCGTAAGTGCACTCTTTCCCCGTGTAGGCGTCTACCTGAGCATTCGATCAAGATTTTCGCAATCGTATGCGTTAAATAATTGCTTGTCCACGCGAATCAACGGTTAATGTTAATCACAAAAATCGCTCGATACTTCAAGTTCGCATTGAGATTACTCCTTATTTTTCTATTTCTTCAGAAATTTCGCTAATATTGAAAAATTAATAGTTGGCACTCGCTTGTGTGAGGAATTTTATAGGGAATCCTTTTATTCGTTCATCTATCATCCAGCAAGTTTCTAACCGTTTCTAAGTTCATTTCCTTGGTTCCGCTCAGCTTAGCTTAATTGAAGCTTACGGAGCTACGGACGCGATAGAGCCTAATCAATCATAAGATTTTCATATGACGGTACCTGTCCGACGAAATCCGGCTTACTGCTTAACCTATTGAGAACTAGCTCCCCGACGTTCGCGCATACTGGATGAGTTTCCTCCGTACCAATCAATACGTTCTCCTCGATTCTGAACGATGGTGCATACTGGCGAGAAAAGCGAGGACATGTAAACATGTGACAATAATTTTACTGACGGCGAACGTCACTTCGCCGGGTCTATCGATAACACGTCCTTACCTCGTCGGCTTTTTCTCCGTTGCTCATCGCCATGTCTCTAAAAGTCTCTCGGCAGCTTTAGCCACGTTGATGGTCATGTAACGTGTGGCGCACGCCATCATTTACGACAGGCTCTTATCGTGGATGCGTGTTCCACCACCACCGGTGAGTGGTGAGTAACTACAATCAATTTATCGGTCATCAAGGAATCGTACAGCTGCAATATTTGATAGCGCCGGAAATGACTGTTAATCCTTGAATGACAATGGAAATTGTTGCTCGCTTGCTTAGACACTCGAAATACCGGGGATAATAATCTCCACGATTCGACACATGCTAACGCCTGGCTAGCAGTCTTAATTCAACGATTTAATGTCAATTAACTTTCACAAATATTTAATTTCGTAATTCGCCCGTTCTCGCGCTACCCGGGACGCACACCGAGCTGCGTACTCCGGGATTATTCCAGCATTTTCGTCGGACGGAATAATAAATTTATGATGTCGCGGGAGTTCCCGTTTGGCGGTTTGCAAAATGCATTTGCGCCTGGCGATAAAAATACGCTTACCGAAACGGGGTTGCATTTGGGGCGTGTTGTGTGCATCGCGTCGATTCGACGCGGTGATATAATTTATCGTTCGCCGCGCAACGCTGAAATTTTTGCGATGCGCACTCTGCGCACCACTGTCCGACCTGACAATGTTGACAAATGTCGTTTCAGACGCCGTGGGAGTGACGAGCCGATGTCAATGTCCGTTGCCGGAATGAAATCTTGCCGGACGTGCGTACGAAATTTGCACGGGGAATCCTCGGTATTTTTCCATTACGCCGAATATTTACCATTGAATTATCTGCGCGGGACCAATTGAAGCGTATGGTGTAAAAACAGAATGTTTTTAATGATCTACCTTGAGATAGCTGTAGATAATAGTGGAATAACTGCTGATACGATAAAGCGATTTTATGAAGAAGCTCGGAAAATCCACGGTAAACAACGAAAGACTTGCGTCATCACGTTATCTATTAAATAATTCGAGTGGTTTGATCAGTTGCGACCAATCACGATATATTCGATGCGGAAATTTCGAAGAAATCTAAAACGTGAATTGAATAGGACCGCGAGTCGCCGAGTTTCAAAACGGTGTTGCAATATTGTTTCGAAATGATTTCGTGATTTCCTACGTTCCGAAATCATTGAGAAAACTCTTTCTTACGCAGCGCGTATTATCTCTTGGGCGGGTCGGTTTTTCCCTCATTCGAAAAATCAAATCTTATCAGCTTCTCTACGCTCACCCACGTCAACACCAACATTGTGTTATCGTTTTAACGATAAATCATTTCTCAATCTGCAGCGCTTGTCGGGGATCAATAACGATAATGAAGCATTACCTTAGGTACGAGCTCGGTGCAACGCTCTCGACGATCGCTGCGTTATCGATTTTACGTTAATCAACCGTGTCGACTCTCATTATCATACGCCGTTGCATATCATTAATATTTCCGTTTAGAATATTACATCATTTCGTGAACTCTCAGAAGTGGGACGCGAGTATTACAGGTTAACACGCTTACATTTAAATCTCATGAACGTTCGAACACACCGATTGTTGACGAGTACTGACCAGATACGGATCGGTTGAGTTGCGAATCGATAGTCTAATTTCGCGGTAAGGGATTGCGATCTGATCAATTCGCGATACGTGGGACAATCTATATCTTTACGAAGCTTTCCCGTCGTTATCTCGCGGTTTTATCATTCTCATCGCTATTTTCCTCGCTGCTCGCGAAACAGTTGCACGAGGCGCACTTGTAATAGTCACGCCGTTGAATTTCCAGTGAGATTACATGGAGTCCGTTTCACAAGAGGACTTCCCAGTCGGATGGACGTCAGCCTTTCTCAACGGCAACGCCGTGAAATTTCATATTTCTCGCACTCGTAACCGCATACTCGTTTCTCCTCGGTTCTCCGATACTCCCCGGCTTTCTTATCCTCACTTCGCAGTTGTCACGTGCCTCACCTCTCCTACCAGGCGATATCTCCGGCGAGATGACTATAATTTTAGCTAGTGACCGGATATCAACGTCGCTAAGATCCATCGCATGGCTTCCGACTCGAAATTTTGCCGCTATACTCAATCTTTAATTCCACGACACAATAACGGCTATGATAGCAAAATAAATTCCATTTCAACAATTTCAGTAATAATATAATTTACTTTTATTTTGACCTGATATTTTAAATTTCCGTTTTCGTTATTCCAGTGATCAAATTGATTTGTTCAAGGTAGTATTGAAATAAAATCTGTAGAATTACAGGTTCAAAAGAGAAGTTAACAGGCAATCTAATAGGCGCAAACTATCCCTGAGAGCGACAAAGTAACATTAAAATTTCAGCTCAGGTTGATATGATCTCGTTATATCTGCTAAAATTCGTGTTCGTCGCGCGATTGGCCGATAATATTAAGAACGGCTAGAAGAGTCGCGTCGAATTGCGAAATATCGCTGCGGTAACGTTGCTTTCGATCCTTCTTCTTATCAATTCCTTCGAATGCGATAGTGGCGCGTGACAATGTCTCAAACGAATCCAACATTCTCGCGAACCGTCTGCGGAAGTCTCTCCGATTTCCCTGCATCGGGCCCATCAATCCCTCGACCGTCATTCCCCGAGAGATAAATTTATTTTAAAGGAGACCGACGGAAACCCCGCGCGAGACTTCCTCGCGAAAGGAACGTCCGAAGCGGATCGTGTCCTTGCCAGTCGCGAAACGTTCCACTCTCTCTTATCACGTTTGTCGGACAACCACCCGCGGGACGCGGCAGTTGCTTTATGGTTGTTTTAGTTTGGCGCGAACCGCAATAATTTAATTAGATCCGACTTACTTAATCCCGTCGCCTGTGGTGTGCGCAACCACTTTGATTTTAAAGCCAGGCGACTAAACGAGAACGAAATTATCTCGGCGCGCTTCTTTCATGCGCTTACTTGCGAACACTTAGTCGAGTTTACCCCTTGTCGGACGGCGAGCGGTGGCCGGGCTAAACGCGCTGTAGAGCAAATATTAAAACTTCACGGCAGTTTTGCGCGCGGCCTTTTGAAGACGACTGTACGGAAGTACAACCGCGGAAATTGTCGCTTCGTGCTTCTCTTTTGCTTTTTTTTCCTTCTTCCCACTGCGCGTTCTTCTCTCTCTCTATTTCGAGTATTTTAAAATTGTCAAATTAGACGTGCCGACACACAGTGACGTCTAAGTGCGGTTTCGCGGACAAAATTCCAGAACTTCTTCATTCAATATCATGTAAATATATTCGGAGATATATTCTCCTCTCTCTCTCTCTCTCTCTCTAGATAAATTTTTTTACAAGAATCTCAAAGTTTGTTCGCACCGGCACCATTGTGCGAGGTGTATGTACGCTCATTGCATGCGGATAGCTGTGTAGACACTCACGAGGTGCTTTTCCGTGCACACAATTTTCGAACGTGCTCTTTCGTCTAGGTGTTAAGTCGTGAGAGATACGCAATCATTGTTTTATTCACTCCGATCCGCTAGAATGCATTAATAAACACGTAATTAATCGAACACCAGATTCTATCGATGACTTCTAATCTATACTTATAGATAAAGTTATAATCAGATAGTTTCCATAACAATCGAATTTTCCCAATCGTCACCGCATGTGGAAAATAACCACTTTGTGTGCGAGATATGTTTTTATTTCCCGTGCGATGAAACCCAGGTTATCCGGACTTAATCGAAGAGCGTAACGCTTCGAGTAATCGAACGATTACATTTTAACGCGCGAAAAGATTACTTATTCGGCGATATTTTCGTGTTTTCGATTCGATTACCAGAACGACGTTCGAATAATCCGGAACAAAGTGTTCGGGTAATCCGGATTAAACCGCGAACCATTTGCTATTACGATGTGCATTGCAACGGCAATCGACATTAATTATGCAAATGCGTAAATGGACGATGGAGAACTTTAACGCGCGTTTATCAGCCATTCGCGCTCGTAAATACGTAAAATTCGAGGGCAGGTATAATTCATCTGGCCTTCGAATCGCCTTGCGTGCGTTTTATTCGCATGCGCGCCCTAAGTGCTTGTTAATGCAGTCGCCCGTTATATTACGTGAACGTTGAGTCGCGTCAAATGAGGATACGCTTTTATCTACTTTCCTTCTATCTCCTTCTGCTGAACACGATCATCGAATCTCTCTCTCTCTCTCTCTCTCTCTGTCCATCTTTCCATATATCTATCCACCTTTCTTTGTCACGGTATCACACGGAGTTTCTGCCGCTACGTCGAATTTCTCTTTCTGATGCATATACCGTATTGCATCGCGGTACTCAGACGTACGTAATAAGGACGACATAACGTGAATGTCCTGCGACGGGAAAATCCGCTCCAACAATGGCAAGCGAAATAGACGAGCGAGACATTCGTTCGAGAAATCTCTTGGGTTTCGTTATAACGTTTTGACGAAGGTTCCCGCCGTTTCGAACTACAGGATTGTAACGATATTTCGTATCGTGATATTTCTACGCCGTTCACGATGCCCATTTGTATCTCGCGATAACCAGCGACGCGGAATAAGTACACGAACTTCTTCCTGAAAAATGTTGTAAAGATAATGCTATCTCGCGCGCATGCACACTATTTGTCGACGGTGTTTATTTGCGATCTTATCGCGCGGTAGATTTTGTACGCATTGGGAGAATGGCGGTCACGGATACGCACATGTACGTATAGATCTATAACAAATCATTCGTTTCTATCGGAACTGTTCCCCCGATAGTGCTCTATTAATTGGTTTATCATAAATACGTAGCGATATATGTGTTCTAATGTATCGTTACACTATCGTAATATCGTATTTCATCGATAATCACTTAACAAATACACATGAGCAACGCGTACATGTTGAAATGATATTCTCCAACTATGATGGAAGATGGTGTTCCGCTGTGTATTAGTGTTGTATGAAATTAATTTATTAAAAACGCGTTGCGAGCAATACTACTTACGTTATATATAATATTATTATATACGTAGAAAAAAGTGAGATATACTGAAAAAACGACAATATAACATTCCGGGAGGTTATATTTTTAATAATGTGACTTCTCAGTTCGTCGCATAACTCTTGGCGATTTGTTTGAGCTCCTTCTTGGCGATCTTTCCGGTGGCTGTGCGAGGCAGCCTTTCCATGAATTTAACTCCCGCATGCAACCTGCAGTACCACGGCATGTTCCGCTTCACCAAGTCGGTTATGTCGAGCTCCGTCACCTGAAATTTACGTGAGAAATTGTAATGTAACGTATGTAGGGCGAGACGGTTAAACTTAGGGTTTGCAGTAAATTGAGACCGTGTGCACGAAAGCAGGCCAATCCTCTTTTTAGCGAGAGAAGATAAAAAACGCAAGATTTATGTAGGGTCAAACTTCTCCTTGAGAAAAATTAATCACCAAACGAAGCGCATGTATCATTACAAATATCACACACAAAACGTTTCGGAGGAAATATGTACTTTGAGGAAAAAACAAATGTAAAATACAGTTCATCGGTAATTCGATAAAAAGAGAATAATTCGGTTTCACCGCAAATGGAAAAAGATCTCGAGCGAGACGTTAAAAGCCCGCAATACGGTAGCCGAACGTTCGAGTTTGCATCACGGGTTTCAATCGGCCGAAGCAATTACCTCTTTGCCGGGTACCTTCACGACAAAAGCCATGGCGTGTTCCTCATCGACGTGATGCGGCATTGGCACAACAGAGACTTGGAGAACTGCAGGATGTTGCTGAATCAAAGCTTCGATTTCCGCGGGCGATATCTTAATAGATCTGTAGTTGATGAATTCCGACATTCTGTCGACGAGGAAGATTTCGCCGTCGTTGTCGTAGTAACCAAGATCGCCGGTATGTAACCATCCTAGAATTGGAATACTTCGGATATATCGAGGCGAGTGACAGGCGTGAGAATGAGCAAATTTTTAGTCGTTTTACACAACGTGAGATTAAAATGTATTTTAATATTTGATTTTAACGATCGAAATAATTGTGTGAGAATAATTTGCCGTTATAAAAGTTTGATTCTTACAATAAATATTTTCGAAGGTTTTTGAAATAAAATCTCATTCAAAGCGAATAAAAAGTTATTCGAGGCGATAGTGGAAACATTGTCGCTCGAAATTACAAAAGTGAGTGTTTCGATCGATTAGAATGAATTTGTTCCTATGGCAATGGAGTTCACTAGATTTACTTTTCAATTTCGAATGAAAATATTCGCTCTGCTTTTGAATGAAATTTTACTCGAAGAAATTTAAAGAAAATTAATTGAGTACGTGACTTTAAATATTATTGTATCAAATAAAGTCTTTAAAAGATGAAAAAAAAAAAAGAAAATAGGTCTTTGCGCATTGGAAATAATATTTTAGAATTAAAATCTCCGTTTTTGGCCCGGAACAATGGCAAGTGTCGAACTATTTCACGCTTACCGTCCGAATCGAGAGCCCTCTTCGTGGCCTCAGGATTGTTGTAGTATCCATTCATCATGTACGACGATTTGGCCCATATTTCTCCGGTTTTGTTGGCCCCCAAGACCTTTCCCGTGTTAGGATCGACCACTTTCAGCCGTCCTGTTTCGCACACAAATCCGCAGCTGCCTGGTTTACTGTATTTCGTCTGACGGGCGCATAATCCACCATAATCCGTCATTCCTGCAGACAGTCGGTGCAAAAAGCCGGTTGCTATTTTCCTTCGTGTCGCGCATACACGTATACGTGCACACGCATACACGGTGTGTACTTTCAATAAAATACGCCGCCGCACTAACTCGGTTTACGGGTAATCAGGTCGCGAATATCCGAACGAAGGTTGATAGCGAATTATCGCGCGGACTTGTCATCACGGTAAGTCCTTCCCCGGCAACTTACCGTAACTTAGTATGACATTGGTGTGCGGCAAAAGTTTCACCAGCGTCTGCTGCAGCTCCCCCTTGAAATGCGAACCGCCGAACAAAAGGATTTTCAATGTTGGTAGTCGGTACTTGCTTAATACGCCGAACTTCACCAGCCGAATAGGGAAGCAGGAATCGCATCTAAACCAGGATACCTGAATGCAAAACGACGCCGTTAAACTCGAACGCTCCCGCGGTATTACTGCCTGCACGAGGCGATAAATCACGCGGGTACAACTATCGCGGCCCGTTGTAGACGCGCCTCAATTCGGGCTCCGGTGTTATCCTTTAGCAAATTCGTCGTGCGACATAAATTAACACAAATTAACGCGCGCGCGCGTGTTCGCACGCGTAATATCTCGAAAGCGAAACATTATTTTACAAGAGTCTCTTTTGCAAGAATATCTTCAAATAGAAGTAACGCACGAGCGGGAGGTTGCGCAAAGTGTGCAGATAAATCAGGCCGACACCGTCGAATATATTAAATTTTATCTCCGTTGCATAAACGCGCGATTAATCTCCATTCCGACGAGAGCGCGTCGCGTCGCGTTGGAAAAACGCCGTCGCTTCGCGAGGCGAGCCCGAAATCAAATCGATCCGTTGCCATCGAAATCTCTCTCTCTCTCTCGCTCCCTTTCCGTCACTAAAATCGCGATCACGTAATCGCTATTATTCACCGGCGCAACCGACGATCGTTTTATTAATCCGTGCCGTTGTTATCGACGAGCGTGAGCGTTAAAGAGCCGCCGATATCACCGAACCGAGCGTTAACGCGCGATCGATCGATCGACAATCGGTTTATTCGCCAATTCCTGCCGACAGCGTCGTCTCTCATTCACCTCGTACTTCTCGATGAACCGGCAGAGGCCCTCGTCGTTATCGTCATCCGGCACTATGATTCTCTTGGAGTAATCCAGAATCGCCTTGATGATGATGAACAGGCCGCAGTACCATCTCATAGACGGCGTCCACATGGACACGTGTCCCTTGAGATCGTGAATCTTGACGTGGGCCATATAATTGATCATGGCCGCGTGACTGATCTCGGTGCCCTTCGGGAAGCCGCTGGTGCCCGACGAGCAGACGATCGTGGCGATGTGGCCGGGGTCGGTCAGCTTCGCGCACTCGAATTCGTCAATCCGCCCGGTGTCCTGGGAGCGCAGAACAGCCGTCAATGTTGGCACGGCCGGTCCGGCCGAGTCATCGAACGTCACCAGCCTGGTGTCCATATTGTTCTCTTTGACGACCTGCGCCAGACACTCAGCCGACTCGCCGTTTACGAACACTATTTTCGGCCTCGTCAGCGAGAGGAAATAACGCGCGGTCGCTGAAACCGGGGAGATCTTCCGTGAATATTTCCGCGATGCCGTGGCCGCTTGTGCACGCGCGTGTGAAAAACACCACGAAGCTCCTCCTGTTTTCGTTGTCATATTTGCGCGAATTAAAACGGGAACGTCCGTCCGGACGGACAACGCTTTCGGATTCGCGGAGCGGGATGAAAGACCGAAAAAGCGTACACGCCGCGGGTAACTATCTCTCGCGCGTTTTTCATACCGCGTGACGTCGATTGATTAAAATAAAAAACATACGTGTGCATGCGCGAGGAACGCAAAAAGCACGGGGGGAACGAATGTTTCGCGTCACTTTTAGCGCGAAAATCAGATCTCGCGTCCGAGAACCGGCGTTGCTTTTCTTTCTAATGCTCGGCGCAAACGAGGAGCGGCAGCACCGGGGAAGCACGAGAGGAGGTAACGTACTCGGAGAAAGTTCGTTGTCCCATGGGTTGCTAATGGCGCCGAGGTAGAGCGCCGCGAGCAACGGTACGTATGACTCCAGATGATTGTGAGTGCAAATGCCGATTATGTCACCCGGCTGAACACCCTGCTCTCTCAGCCACAGCGCGCATTTTACGCTTTTCTCCGTCATTTCCGCGAAAGTGGTCTCTGCGCCGGTAACCGCTTCCACCTACGCACAAGGGGGAAGTTCACGATCGAGCGTGGGGTTAAGTGGCGAATTTTAGAAGGGAATTTATGTTAAAATCGATTGAACGAGACCTGTCGTCCCACGAGTACACGAGCGTATGTGTGTGTGTGTACGTGTGTCTGTTTACCTGCGCGATAAACTCCGGCCTGCTTTTCAGCTTCTCCAACACCAACGCTCCGACATTCGTGCATTTCTTATGGATCGGCGCCTCCTCGCCGATCAAAATATCGTTCTCTATTCTAAACTTCAAGTCACCCTGAAAGCACACACGCGACAAGCGCGACGGTAATTAATTTGCAGTTGTTAATTATATTTCGCGATTAATGACATTTCATTTAAAATCGATGATTATTTCTAAAATGTTTTTCTCATTGAAATTAGCATCTTGTAAAATTTGCTTTGTCGTAATTAACAAAATGCGACACATGTTGCCCTTTTCACACTTCTGTGAAAACTGTTTATATCGATATGACAATGAGAGTTTCGATAAATCCGAACGTGATGCTTGAGATTCACACATCGTGCAAATAGTATTAACGATTTAGAATTTTAACATTCTCTTTTTTTACATATTCACTGTGACTGGTACCTCGTTAATAACATTTCCGTTACTGAAGCCGTTTTTTAAATTCGACATCGTGAGACACGGAAGGATACGCTTGATGTTCTTGAAAAATGACGAGCGGCAGAAATTTATAAAACCGACTAAGTCATATCTTCTCTAGCGATCGCGCTTTTATTCGGTACATTACTCATACTATTGCGATAATACTTTATTAACTGCGATAACGTATCAGATGTATTATTACACAAAGATAGGTGAAAGAGGATAAATGAACATTTAATCGACCTTTTTAATTGTCTCATGTGACGAAAACAATAAACTAATCGTGGAAGAAGAGTTATTGCAGTTGAGCGTGTTGGGATTTAATTTCAAACGTAGTTCGGTTTCGGTCGTATATATTTATGTTTCTTATGTGCCCTTCTGATGTGATTCGATTTTATCTACGCAACTTGGAAATTTCACTACCGATAAAAAAATTAGCTAACGGAATAAAGTATATAAACCGTCCAAATCAGCTATAAGAACAGCAAGCGAACGTTCGTTTCCAAATTAGTCAACATAAAGTCAAAAGAGTTAGAATTTAAAGCGTATTGCTTTTTTGTCTCACATCGATTTTTGTTGCCGCTATTTCGGAATACCGTTATTTATCGTTCATGTTGTTACGGATCAATAAAATTGCCGATAGTGATCGCGAAAAGTGATCAGTCAAATTTTTTTCCTGGACTCTTCCAAACGGCGCGATAGCCTGAATCCTCGTGCAATTCTTATAACAGATTTGACTCAAATATTTCGTCGTAATGAGTAAAATAAGCTTTATCAACGACGGAAATTTATTCTCGCTGACAAACAATAGAGACGAGAAATTTCCGAGATATGAGAGATATGATGGAGGAAAAAAGAAAGAAAGAAAATCCCCGTTCGCGAACGCGTTGCGAAACAGTGCGTTGTCGCGACGACGTGCCCCGCCGAGGAAAGAAAAATATTTGTATGCAAGCTCGGACGCGAGTCTCGTCCGCAAATGTGCACGATTGTATCCATCGATAATTCCGATCGCAGCGCTGATTTAGCGCCGTGTTCTGACTTTGTTCTGCGAAAATGACTTTAGTATTGATTATAATTCTCTCTCTCTCTCTTTCCCTCTAATCTATCTCTCTTTCTTTATCTCTCGTTCGACGATATTCATCATCGTGACTGCTTTTCCTGCAAATTTCGCGCTTTCCCTCTCTTTCTCTTGCGTCGAGTCGCTACTCGAAGCCACGCAATTTCTTGAGAATATCGATGTTTTCGATTATCGCGACGGAATTTGGCACACCGCATCAGAGTGTTGTTGAGCGAGAACTAATTGTATAACGCTGGTCGTCGGCTCCACTAAGTTCTAACCAATTTATGAATGCGGCAGCCTAACACGAGACTGCACTATACGCCACTGCCGACTCAAGGTAGCCGGAATATACCTGTTTCTCAAACTTTCCATCACTATCGACTATCCTTGCCTGCTGCCTTATTCTGCCGATGTCCTTCCTCCATGCCGGCTGTCGTTCGCACACGTTCTTGCACTCGCAGCGTCGCTCGTTAATCTTTAAGCCAGCCAAGCATCCCGAGATCCCGAGCGATTTCGCGACCAATAAATAATAACCGGTCGAAACGTTCCGACGCGTCACTCGAAGATGTCTAAGAAGAAACATTTTATTTCTCGCTTAGTATGTCGACTCGAGTCCACTATGTCGTTACCACTTTAAGACTTTTATAGCCAATAAAACCACTTATTAATATCTTAATAAGGGACACTTCATCGATCCATCTGCTTATAGAATTAATTGTCATTTTGCTTATGATCGAGTAATTTTTTATCGTTCGATTACATATCATACAGGCGAGAGATATCGCTAATAAAATATCACGAGATCTCCAAGATCTCCTGTGTGTGTACGCGTGCATCTACGTGGTTCCTGTCCGACTTCGGAGTCACTTTCCGATCGATGCAAATCAATTCGTTCGTCGATAAGTGGAATCAACGTTTAGCATCGCCAGTGAATGCATCGCGGATAGAAAAAAAGTCTTTGAGAAATAGCGACGCTCGCAGTGATACAACGCTTCATCGGAGCACGTCGCCGTGGCACGTGTTCGATCAAACAACTTAACGTTCCGCTCGGCTGATCTTTATCCTTCTATAGTTGCTTCATTTCATGCCGCGTAGAGTTTCATGCGCTCGTGCAACAAACGAGCGTGAGTTTATATTGTACGATCGTTGTCGCGCTTCGATAATGACATTTTCACCTTGCGAGTCACTTCATCGCGAATGCAGGATTAAACGAAGCTTGATTAAAAAATAAGAGAGAGACAAGGAGGATAACTTTTCTCGTCTTTTAAGAAAAGATTTACTTGGTATTTTACACTTTTTACTTCTACGAGTTTTGCAGCTTATCCATGTCCAATGGGAGAATTTGGTTTTCTGTGATTTCTAGGAGATATAAATTTTCCTATTGGACGTGTCCTGGAGTTTGTGGCCTTCTGTCTTCCATCGAATGTACATTATGTGATATTATATGTCATAAAAACTCACATTTGCAAGTATAAGCTATAGTAGTTATTTACAGTTGAATTCCTCATTTTACAATTCTAATAACGGTAGCGCGACATGGTATCCGATAATTTTCCGCAAGCACGTCTAAATGGTCCCTCGCGAATAAGGAGGGAATCCTTCAATATTTGAAATAGCAGGCATAGATGATGGCGCGAGCTAGCTGTATTTACCCTCTGTAAAACTTCGGCAACGTTGATTTCACTTCCAGCACTCACAGCTCGAGCTTTGATGTGCCGCGCGTTCAATTCAAACCGCCGAGGAAATTAACGAGCGGCAAATAAGCCCCCGGATTTACTCTCCCTCGCACCCTCGTGTTTCGTCTTGCCTGTGAGCGCTCTTGCTTTCTTAGAAACGCTCGCTTCAATTTTGCGATAACGACAAACGGTATCACGCATCGATCGTTCGCGCGTTATACGCTCGAAAGTCGGTCCAAAAGCGGACCGTCGACGCGGGACGAGATTCTAATTGCATTCCAACATTGAATATAACGTGTGGTTGCGAGATGAAAACAGACTGCGGAGAGAAAGAGAGAGAGAGTTTCTGTGCGAAATCAGCCTAGCTATCGGCATTGGCCGAAGAAGTCCTCGGGGGAAATCTAGGATTTCTCTTCAACAGAATGCGCTTCGGCCCGAAACGTTGACCCGCCTTAGGACTACGGCTTGCCGACCGTGGAATTGCTTCCGCGTCCGTTATCGATACGCTTACGTGGCTCCTAATTATACTACCGCTTGTCCCGCGGCCATCGAGAACCGGCCCTCGTGTCCCTTCGAAGCACTGCGCTAGGACGGAATTCAATTCAAGGCTGTTAATCGTCGCGACACGCTTCGTTCGACACACGAGCGTGTTCGAATGTTTACACGGCGATGCGACGCGCGCCACGACAGCTAATCAGACGGGAATGTAATCAGGCTGCGCATCGTTAATTCAATCATTCGCACCGCCGAAAGTAGACAGCCCGACTAATCCCGTCTAATCAATTTCGACGAGCTTTTCGCTGCCGAGCGGAGACGCGCGAGCGAGACTCGCGGCGCCGCAAATGCTGCGCCGGTTGATATCGCAAATCGACAGATTGCACGTTATTTCATCGTATTGCGCGACAGAGAAATATTAACGAGATTGCAGCTGATAGATGCAAACAAATGCGATTAGATTATAGTGATGCGAAACGGAGGTTCCAGGAATTTAAAAATATTCCTAACATAAACATTCCTCTTTTCGGCGAATACGGTGTCTACGAATTCATTTTAGTCTTTTTATTGTATTATTTTTGCATTTTCATTTGCCATTAGCTGCTAGCTGTATTAAAATCCGTTACTGTACCAAATCTCATTCAACAGTTTAAGCGAAAGAGAGAGAGAGAGAGAGAGAGAGAGAGAGAAAGAGTTTAAAACGTTGATTACCGTACTGATTTCCATTGATTGTACAAAAGCTTGTGACTGATGATTGAATTACTAAAAATACGAAATTACAAAAATTACTAAAATAAATTGCCGTAATTTGACATGCATGTGTCTTCGATCTCGTTTTATTGGCTCTCTGACGACCGCGCGATTAATTTTTTGACTACAATTAATTGTCCTTCATACGTAACTCAATAAGACGAGTAGCGACCACCGACGGCATTCAACGACGTGTTAAACGAAGGTTTCCGCACACCAGTGCGATCGAGAGATGGGTGGGAAATGGACTTGCGACTAACGCGCAATTGTGCGCGGTACTCTGCGGTCCATGTGAAATACAGCCTTATCTGAAATCGAATCCATTGGAGTTGACTCTATTCGTTTACTCTCGGTGATTCCCCGTTCAGGCGCAACGTTTTTCGTTATCGGCAAATCAGGGGGGGGAAATAAGAGCCCTCGAGTGAGAAGTTTAATACGCGCTAATTTGAGAAAAAGTGTTTTTCCGCCAAGATCTATTCCGAATCGACATATCGCCGATAGTTCAGATCCGTCGAAAATACCGTTGACAATTGCACAACCGTGTCACGTCAAAAGTTCCGTCATATTTCGGGTGAGATATCGTTGGGTTGATAGAAGCGAGGGAAATATCTCGCCGGCAATCTTGGCTTGGTCTCACGACTTCGCTGTTATTTCGCCCGCAGTCAGCCGCAAATTGAGGATTCCGAGCTTTATAGACGAGATCGGACGAAATTAATGACAACGGGGAAGGGGCTGGGGGAGATTACGAGGTCGTAAGATGGACCGAGCAGGTGACGAGGTCGGAGGAAATAGCGCCGACGTTACCTCGTGGACAAATTCTAACAGCGAGAAGGAATCCAGAAATTCCGAGCTTTTCCGACGCGTGCACGTTAAATCCGGTTACTTAGCAGATTGAACTGCCGGAGTGGAATCCGAAGCGATGGTTTAGGGGACGTTTGATCAAGCGGCGAACGAGACGATAAACCAGGCTTGAAGTGGCACGGAGAATTTCATTTCCGGTCGTTTCATTTCTTTCAAATCGAGCCGACGCGTACATTCCCCTACGTAAT